TCAACCCAATGGCAGTGAGTAACGCGTTTTTAAATGAGCAGGGAATGAATCTCACAGGGCACTTAGGTGCTGGTCTGAGTGACCCCCTAAGGTCCTGGGCTCGCTGCCACGTGTCTAGAAATCTAAAACACAAAACCCGAAACCAAACGCACGGCCATCGAATCGATGCCACCCCACGGAGACCCTGTAAGACCCGGGGTAGCCCTGTCCTCCAGGGCTTCGAGACGGCAACTTTTTAAAAAAATACAGAAACCCAAAGGGAAAGTCTCAAAAGCAAAACTACTGTACTCTAGTGACATCTGGTGGTAAGCTTGATTTTAAACGGCCGGAGCTTTTAATTTTTGACGCTTGGTTTCTTTCATTGTGCTCTCGTATTTGTCACATCAGATGGTTACCTGTTGTGATTGGTTGGCTTATCCCACCCCCACCCATGTTTTTCTGTCCACCCGATGCTGTCCTTGGGCAACAAGCTTTCAAGACTGCCATGCCCTGTCCCACCTGCCCTTGTGAATTTTATGCCCGTGAGTGCGTGGTTTAAACACCACGTGAGTTCACCACAGCGATGCTGCTAGTTAGTGGGCACCGAAGAAGTCCCCACGTGCACCGACTGCTCTTGTTCTTCCCTAGAACTGTACGAGAAGGACTGCGGGGATGGAGAGACGGTGATCTACTGGGAAGTGAAGTACCCCTTTCCCATGTCCAACAGGGATGTATCCTACAGCCGGCACCCCGTGCCTCGACTTCTAAGCGCTGCTGTGCAGCTTGGTCATCCTTGGCTGCAGGTGCTAGAGCAGGGGCAGACGACTCGGTCTTCGATCCTTGCACCAGCGCCTGCTAATGCCCTGGCATCTTTTGGGTTCCTGGGTGGTCATGGGGCCTCACATTGCTGAGCTGCAGAATTCTGGTACAGCTCCTCGAGTCTAGAGAGTCTAGAGAGGAAGGAGGACACAGGGAGGTGACATAGCACAAGTCTGTCCGTGGTGGGCGGCAGGGCGGAGACTGGAACTCAGGCGCCTGCACATCCAGCTCTCTCCACCCCCAGCCCATCTCATTGACCCCACGGTGTCTGAGGGAGGGTGGGACGATGGAGGTGCCAGGAGGGTCACGTACAAGCAGTGATATCAGATTTGGAGTAGCTTTTGGATGGTCTTAGGCTTCCTTCCTTCTGTGCTGGCCCAAGTTCTGCTATTTGAAAGTGCAATGAACTCATTAAGGAGCCCAGTTAGCGCAACAGGTAAGCTCGGCTGGAGTCCAGCCATTTGAGGGGTACTGCGGAGAGAGGCCTGGGCCGTGCTCCTGTAAACATTAAAGGAATAGAAAGCACCCTAGGGCAGAGCCACCTGGCAGCACCTGTCTTGTTGAGCACAGTAAAGAGTTGTCTTGTTGTGAGAATCCTGACCTGTTAGCCAGGCTTCAGAACAAGATCTGGCTTCAAGTTCAAGTTCTGTCCCTAGAATTGGCCTGGGAGAGCTGGGGTCGGTTCTCCAAACCCGTCTGACCCCGAGTTTTGTCATCATCTGTAAGATGGGGTTACCTAACCCCGACCTGGTCTTTGTAAGACTCAGAATTGAGGCTATATGCTGAGCACATTGCGTTTCTTACTAAAACCCAAACGCACTGCCATCGAGTCGATTCTGAGTCATAGTGGCCGTCTAGGACAGGGTAGAACCTGTAACTCTTTATGGCAGTAGAAAGCCTCGTCTTTCTTCCGTGGAGCGGCTGGTGGCTATGAATCGCTGCTGATCTCGTGCTTAGCAGCCAGTGGGTAGTTCACTACACCGCCAGGGCTGCCAGGGCCAAATAAGTGTTTCTGAGGACTTAGTGAAGCCTGTCCTGCCAGAGTGGTTGTTCTGTGATTGTTTATCAGGAGGGAATGTCTTCATGATTCTTGGTGAACTGGTGTTAACTCAGCGGGGACCTCTGCCGACAAATCAGACAGACATTCAAGTGTCCTCCCTTGATCAGGAGCGTTCCCTCTGACCGACTGGCTTTCAGAACCAAGATATGTGATTTGAGCTTGGGGAAGAGGGGGGTACCCAGGCGACCTACGCCACCATTTGTTGAGTGCTTCTTCTGGCCCAGTCCTCGGCTCAGATGCCCTCAACACACTTGCATGACAGGCCATGCTCTGCCTTGTTCCTGGATAAGCACCCCCCCACCCCCACGCACATCAGGTTTACACAGCTCAGTGGCCCATCCTCCGCCACCTCAAAGCATCCTCAAGGAGAAGAGAGGATTGGTCTCCCTGCATCATTAAAAAGCACCAGGGAACTATTCACGGGGAGGTAACCTTGTCCTCAGACAAGAATCTGGGCGTAGGAGATGCAGTCTTGCAGGGCCACAGGGCAGGTAAGGGAAGGAACCGCACCAGGGACCGGCTGCCAGGTGGGTCTCTGCTCGGGGTCTCGGGGGCTTTCCTTGCACGTCTGAGATGTCCCGCCTTGACTGGCGGCACAGTACGTCTATGTCCGGGAGCGGCGAGAGCTGGAAGTCGAGGGGCAGAAGGTCCTTGTGGTCCTGGCCCGGAGCACCGCCACGCCTCAGTGTGCTGAGAAGTCAAACGTGATCCGGGTGAAGCAGTACAAGCAGAGCCTGGCCATCCAGAGCGACGGCAAGAAGGGGAGCAAAGGTGAGATCCCAGGGTGCAAGACGGAGTAGGGTCCCTGCCAGGGAGTGGGCCCCCAGGGGAGGTGGGTGTTTCAATGTGGCACGATCCATTCGTGACTGACTGGTGCATGGTGGAGGTGCAAATAGAATTTCCCAAGCCAACCAGAGGGTCTAGCCATTCACTTCTGGTTGCTCCTGGGCTTGGCTGCCAGAGTTGCTTCAGGGGACAAGGCACGCAGAATAGGCGGCGAGTCTGTCCCCCTGGGCCAGGGCCGGGAACAGCTGGTGGCCTCAAAGGCACTCAGCTTCTGCCTCCTGATGTTGCTTCTTCCTGTCCCCTGGCTATGCCCCCTACCTTCCCTGAGTGCCGGTTTCATCATTTGCAAAATGGAGTTCCTTTTAGCGGGGCCTTACAGTCGTCATGGAAATGATCAATGAGGCTCTTTCCAAGTGGCCAGCGCCAGATGTTGAGTGAATATCAGCATCACGTGACTGCTTTCAGCGCACTCGTGTTTACCTGGGAGAGAGGAGTCAGGGGAGAAAAGTCTCACCTCCCCCAAAAGTGCCTGGGCCTGAAAGATGTTGATGTTTGCAGGTCTGGTGGCTGTATTTTCCAACCTTTCCCCCTCCTCCTGAACCGTCCTTTCTTTCCTCCTTAGTGTTCATGTATTACTTCGATAACCCGGGTGGCCAGATCCCATCTTGGCTCATCAACTGGGCTGCCAAGGTGAGATCCCAGGGGCCCCCGGGGGCAGGAGTGGGTGGCACAGTTGTGGACTTAGGCCCCGGCGCCGTCAGGCTGCAGAGACACGTTGTCTCTGGTGGAATGGGGCGCTTTCCTGGAGTTGCATGGCTGAGTGGCAACGGTTGGAACTGGGGTGGCCGCCACGCAGGA